AGACGAAACGGGCGAGGGGAATAGGCACGAAGCAAGGGCGGAGTGGGGGGGGGACAACAGGGTCTGGGAGTCAATACACCTGAATCCGGCTGAGCGGAGAGATTTCTTTGGCTGCTGCTCGTCGTACTGAAGGGCTTCTGGTCTAGAATCGGCGGGTCGTTTTTCATTTTCCATCTACCGACAAGTCAACTCTGTAAACTATTCTGCTGCCTATGCATATGCAATGAAGACTGTACTTGGCTGGCCGATTCAGTTGCCTGATCGTCTGTCTGCGTTTTGTGTTTTATGGTCTGTTTCCCAAGGTGCTGTTGTTCTGTGCTGGAAGAGGGAGAGGTATAGGAGGAGTGACGGTAGCCTATACCAGAAGGAGCCGTTCGAAAGGAAGCAATCCGAAAGCTGTTCGTCGCATGCTGTTCCCCATGGCTGACCAAGTAGCGACTCTTTCCAGCCGAGAGCATCGACGTGCCGTCTAGAGTCTAGAGTAACGGGCAATATGATGACGCGTGAGAATGAACGAACAACACCAACACAGCAATTTTAAGAATCATCCGGGCTTTCTCCGACCCCCCGCCCCATCAAGCCCGAACTTTTCTGTCGGGCGTGCTTCTTTTTATCGTGGTGTAACTTTTTTTTTTGTTTTGTGGTTGCGTCAATTCTGTTGTGCTTTTCTTCCTGGGTGGAGAGAGAGTTTCACTGGGTCCTTAGCGCCTTCCTTCCCTGCAAGCCTAACTCTCCGCCTCCCCAAGCCGCTTTCCCCGAGCGCATGACATGACATGGCATGCCGTTGTCCCTGTCCTTGCATCGATTCGATTCGGCTTGTTCCTCAGCTGGCCGGCAATGCGTTTGCTTTCTGTTTTTTGGTCGTCGTCTTGCCGAATCGCGTTTTACCCCGGTCTTCTCATGCTTACAACCGCCGTGTTATTATTATTTTTTTTTGTGCTTGTTTTTTCTCGAGCTGTGAAGGCCCTGCTTCGCCGCAGACGGCAAAAACAGTAGCAGTGGGTGTGCGCAGCTTGGCGCGTGCAGTGAACGGCGGTGGACCAGCGATTTACGTGGGAATTTCCGAATCTTTTTTCGTTGGTCCCCGTCCTGCGTTGGGGGTGTGCGGCTCGCTGATTGCTCAATCTTATCTTTTGAGAAAGGCAGAGGAAATACTATGAAGCCAGAAAGAGGCCCGGACCAAACAAAACTTGCGACATATGTAGCAGTAATGTACTTGGTTTACACTTGAAGGGAGAGGTAGGTCTACAAGGCTCAACGGCACGCGATCTATCTTTAACGAGATGATGTTGTATGATGTATCACGTCGCATGTATGTGTGCGTGTCCGGTCAAATTACATACATACCCGCTTGCCGCGCATTTTTTTCCTTGAAGCAAAGAAAGGTAAGCGGCGGTCTGACTGCCAAGAGAAAATGAAGAAATCCATTGCCAACCTGCAGGAGATAGATAGGACTCGCTCACCGAGTCCGTCTGTTGGGCGTTTCTGTTGCTTGTTTGTATTGGGGAGGAGGTGTAGCCCCTCTACTGTAAGACGTTCGTTCCGAGAAAAGCTTGATGCGCGAGGACGTCTGTCTGGATTTTTTAGGGACGGGGGAGTGCTTCCGGTGAGGAATGGTCATCCTTTCGTTGTTTGAGATCTCGTGGTGTAGAGGCGGTGGGTGTGAATAGAAAAGACTCCGAGGGAGGAAAAATGATGCGAGTGCCATGCATGTTCACGATGACAAAGGAGAGATAAACAAATTGCCCTTGACGCGATAAAAAAGTCGAAGGCGACCGCGCGAGAATAGAGGCAGGTGGAGAGACTTCCTCCTGTGTGTGTGTGGTCCCGGCTGATGATCAAAACGCTGAAGCAGCAGTGAGTGTGTACGGCGGTCTCTAGGGCTCGTTCTTCTGATTCAAACACGTTCGTTCACGTTTAGTTGCTCAGAGTTTGAAAAATCCAGCCAGCTAGGATTTTATCGCGTCTGTCTCGCGATTTATCTCCCTCGCGATTTATCACCCGCTGTAACAGCTTCAACAAGAACGACATTTGTTTGTTGTATTTATAAAAAAAAACGCCACAACGAACGTTGACGTTTTATTGACACAAGCCCATCCCTCTCATCACCGAGAGGGAGACTCTATCGTTCATTCAATTCGGTAGGGCTTCACAGGCTAAAGCATATGCCCTGACTCTACAACCGGACACAATACAAAAAAAAAAACAGGCTGGCACAGCTTCTCACGCCCTTCGCAAACCTCGCCCCTCTGCTCCGTCCATGTCTCTTCGGTTCCCCTTGCTTCGTTGTCTCTTTCACCCATGTTCATACGTCATCACAACTCCCCCCTCTTTCCAGGCAACACCGCATCAAACTTCCAAGTGGAGCCCTCAAACCTCACGAAAAAACGGGGACGCTCCACCTCGTCCCCCCCGTCCCCTCGTTCATGACGAGGTAACGACGCTCGGGGACACGTCATTAGTTAATCTCGTACGAATCGCACGGGAGTGAGTCCATAGACCGCCCTTACACACCAAGGGAAACGACATCCATCCGAGTAGGCCATGTTGCTTAGGCCACGAAGACCAGATGAACACGACGACTAAAAAAAACTCATGTCACGAATCCTGTCCTCGGTGGGTTTCCCCATCTAACAAGGCCGTTTATTACGGGCCCTCTTCCTTTTATTAGCGATAAAAAAAAAACGCTGGTTGGCTGGTCAAATAAGTCCTTCCTACAAAACGAAGTTTGTTTTTTTAGCGAAACAGGACGGCGGAAAAGAGACCACCCTTTCTGGACCCTAAAAAAAACAACACTCTTTCTTATTACTGTCCGAAAAGCACGAGTTGCTGCCACCCGCCCGGCATGGACAAATTGAGAGACGAGCGGTGCTGCTGCTGCTGCCCTCTTGGCAGCTAATAGCTGCCGTTATTCAATCTATTGTACAACTGGAGTCTACCCTTTACAATTAGCTATTGACAATACGAGAGCCTACCGTTAACAGCTACGTAATTATATTTAACATGAATGCACGTTGACACGTCCCCCCTCCCCTCCCCTCCCCTCTAACTATGTTTCTAACAAAACCGTGCCGTATGCATCCATGCGCGCACACAGCAGTACCCCCAAAAAACGCCTCCTCTCTGTGTTTTCATTTTTTTCATATTCTACTTGCATCCCACGAAAAAGAAAAAAGAGCCTGTGAAACCTGGTGTACTCGTCGGTTGGATGTTAGAGGGTACTGAGCAGCAGAGATCGAAACTTTGTTTAATGCAAAGAAAACAACAATAGAGCAACAACAAAAGCAACAACAGATCGGAAGTTTGTTTAATGAAAAGACGGCTACAACAACAACAAACATCACCACCACCACCAACAACAACAGCCCTCACCTCGGCGGCACGCGAACGGACATGGATGGGCGAACGAACGTGTTTTTCTGTGCGCCCGCAACGCCCCGAGATCTAGCTCTCGTATACAGCAACCACTAATCGCGCACAGGGCGGGGTGGGCTTGCTGTCCCGCACGGCCGCACAAGGCAGCAGCAGCAGCAGCAGCAGCAGTGGCGGCGGCGGAAACAGTAGCCTCGGAAACCGACGCTAAAAAATAAAAAAATACACACAGCGACGCGAAGGCAATCCGACAAGGTCGAGCAAAGATCATCCAAGAACAAAGCAACTCGCGGGGCCTGCTTCTAGAAGCACCGGCGTGCACGACGAGTTGTTGCCCCCCTCCCCTCCCCACATGCACGCCCCGCTCTACCGAAAACCGTGAATCCAACCACCAACCCGCAATTAATTGTGAAGAACCTATGATCCGCATGCATGCTGCCTGCGGCCACACGTCTGCGGCCACACGCCTTCGGCCACGTCTGCGACCACGCCTGCGGCCACGCCTGCGGCCACGCCTGCGGCCACGCCTGCGGCCATGTCTGCGGTGAAAAGGTACGCCAAAAAGAGCTGTTTCGAACCACGCCACACCACTCCACGCGAGGAAGGCCACGACCTGTCCAGCCTGCCAGGCACTCGCTCCACGTGAACGGCCGTTTCACCTCTCAAAAACACACAACCATCACCGGCCGGCAGGCACACACACCACTTCTGCTCACTCACGTGAATCGCCGTTTCGACTAACAACACACACCGACCACGCCCGCCGGCAAGCACATGAGTGAGTTATTTTCGACAAGCACACCAACCAGTTCTTTTCGCTCTGCATAAATAACCGTTTCAGCTCAGTCACGCCACCAACCGAACGGCAGGCACACACCACCCATTTTGGTTCCACGTGAATGAATACGTACCCGTTGCACCTCTCAAGCACACCGACCACCGAAAAGCCGTTTCAGATGCAAAGACGTCACATCAGTCCGTTCCTCAGTCTCCCCCCCCGCACAGCATCGAGTAGGCCTCGCAGCCAGCGCAACCCACCGACTATACCACCAAACGGCCGTCTCGATGAAAAAAAAATCCACAAGAAGTATTCACGTCTGCACCGTGACAGGACGACTTACAGCACTGTGGACACTAAAACCAGGCCTCGCTTCGAAAAAATTCAACCAAAAAAAAAACAATCTAGGGCGAACTCAGGATTTCCTTTCATCTCTTCGTTCGCCATGTTTGCGTGCACACCGACGCAGCTCCGACAACAAGCCTCGACATGATACCCTAGTGTTATTTTTACGAAGTATTTTTCTGGCTTGTTTTGCGCCTCTCTTTTTGGAACGTATGCTCTGTCTTGCTGTCACCACATGCGGCAACTAGCTGCGCGGTTAGGATCTGCCTCACCATAGGTTACGTAGGATACCACCATCCCCTGAATCGAGTTTCAACACCCAATCACAATACTCCACGGATGACAAGGATAAAAGAGTCCAATGATGGCACGTTTACGGAAATCTCTCCACGAGACGGTTCTAACGCCACCGTTTTCGGCACTACTGCTGTCGCTGTTATTTATGCACTCGAGCCTTGAAAAATCGGTCCAAGGGGGTGTCTTATCTTACGTCACCTACAGTGGGCGGAAGGGGTGAAAACCAACGCCTCCAAAGGCGCCTGGAAAACCCCACCAAGCAAACAGCAACACACCTTAAACGACGTGACCTGATCGGCGCCACGCGCAGAGCCGACAATGCCTCCGCTAGCTCCCACAAAAAAACACGCGCTCATCAGTTAAAACACAGAAGAACAACCACCGCCTACATTACGCAAAAAAAAAAAAAACGTGGGACGGGTACAAGGAACGTACCCCTCTCACACACCAGGGGGCGCCATGGTGTCGTAGTCGAGAGAAGGGTTTCGGACGGAGAAAATTTCTTCGTCGTCCTCTTCTGCCGCTGCGGGTTGCGGCTGTTGCTCTTGCTGCTGCTGTTGCTCTTGCTGCTGCTGTTGCTCTTGCTGCTGCTGTTGCTCTTGCTGCTGCCGCTCTTGCTGCTGCTGCCGCTCTTGCTGCTGCCGCTCTTGCTGCTGCTGCTGTAAGCGCTCATATTCTTCCTCCTCCGCCCTTTCCAGCTTCTTCTCCTGTTCCAGGTGCCGTTGCTCCTGCTCCACCCCCTGCTGCTGCCCCTTCTGCTGCTGCTGCAGCTGCTCCTGCAAATGCTGCTGTCTCTCGCCGCCGCCGCCGCCGCCGCCGCCAACAGCAGGTGAGCGCGAACCGGCACTTTGAGTGCGGATTGCGCCGCCCCTTTTGTGAGGTGTGCCCAAGGGGGCCGCACCCCTACCCCCCCCCCTTCCCCTCCGGAAGCCGCCCGACGCCGGCATCGCTGCGGCACTAGCGTTAGCAGCGGCGGAGGCGTTAGCGTTAGCGTTAGCAGTGGCAGCGGGTCCTTCTTGCGCGTTGGCCCCGAGCTTCGGGAGGCCAGGGGGAGCCATGCCGTCATCGTCGTCATCGTCGTCGTACTCCCCTTTTGAGTTTTCGTTTTCTTCGTTCTCTCCCCCTCCTCCATCATCCTCTTGCCCCTCCTCTTCCTGCAGCTGCTGCAGCTGCTGCTGCTGCTGCTGCTCCTCCTCCTCCTGGTTGGCGCCGCGCCGCCGACGTCCTCGGGCATCGCCCGCATGCTCAAACTGAACAAAAAAAAAAGCATCGAGACGAAGAAAGGGTGGGGAGGGGGTATTGGCGTCCGTTTGGGCGGGGGGCGTTCGTGACGTGGCGAATCCCTGACATACGACGCTGCTGCTGCGGCGCGTGTGTCTTCCTCGGGGAACTTGTCGAGCCAACAACGGCAACAATCACAGCAACAACAACGATGGCAACAGCAACAACAACAACAAAAACAACAAAAACAAAGGCTAACGTACCTCCAGCATCATCTGGGCAGCCTCCATCCGCCCGAGCTTTCCCTCATCGAGCAGCCTTCGGTGGTGATGGTGATACAGCAGTCACGCGCGTGGCGGCAGCATCGGTAAACGAGCGAAAAGAAAAAGTGGCCGAAAAAAAAAAAAATAGACCCCGTGCGAAGAGCAAGGAGCAACGGAACACTACCACTGCCAACCCCTAGGGGGGTGTACTCATGTAAACGCATTCCGTAATAGTCGTTGGACCATTGAATTCGCATCCCTGCCATGCCGGGACGGAGCGATATGGGGCGAGGGGGGGATATTGTTTTTAAGCAAAGCACACGACGGTACTACCGCACAAAGCAACGAGGAACGGCACCGAGGGGGCCATCAGCAGCCTTCGCGACTCTTCGCCGCAAACAAACCGAAACGACGGGCGCGAAACCACCCGACCCGTGGCGTTTGTTGGAGGCCGTTACCGCTGCTGCCGCTCGCTGCGTGCCCTCCACCATGTCCACCCCGGCAGCACGTTAAATTTCGTCGCCACGCAAGCTCTCCCTAGCGACCATATTTCACCAACCCACACACTCAAACATATTGGCGGGAAGGATTCTTGGCGGTCTGGCTTGAGAGCATCGTGGGGGGCCGCGTACAGGCCAGAACCCCTCTCCTAGACGTGAATGCAACAAAAAGGCGTTTCGATTGTGTGTGTGGGGGGGGGGGTACGCATATTGCTGTGGCTCGCCTCGGCCGTTGACCAAATGACCAAAGGCAGTAACACTGGTTCGTTTTTGAAACATACACGTCGAACCGCCGCCATTGGGGTACCTTCCACCTTTGTGCCTTCAACATATGCTACAGCAGCAGCACGTATATTTACCTCTTATTTACTTGTATCGGAGTTTTCCAAGCCACCATTTACCTCCCACCTATAGCCCCTTAAGACAAAGGCTTCAGAACTACGCCTATATTTTCCGACCACAAAGGACAAAGAAAAATTGTTTAATATGTGGAGCTTATCTCTCTTTCTCTCCCTCACTTTTTTATGATGAACTCGTCCGCCGTGAGCGGCTTTTCTCCTTCCGCTTCCGCTTCCGCCGGCACCCCGCCAACGCTCTGAGCTCGGCGTGGCTGCCGCTGCCCCCGCTGCCGCCACCGGCCGCCGCCGCCGTTGTTTCCCTCCGAGTCGTAGTCAGATGAGTCGTCTTCGTCGGCATCTTCGTCCTCTTCTCCTATAGAGGCCAGACTCGGCAGAGACGAATAACGCCCGTCCTCGCTGTTGGCACCACCTTCCTCCTCCTCCTCTTCTTCTTCCTCCTCCTCCTCCTCCTCCTCCTCCTCCTTCTCCTCTTCCTCCTGCTCGTCGCTGGGTCGGCGGGGGTCCGGCAACCCCACTCGGAACCGCGCCGCCGCCGCCGCCCGCCGCCGCTGCAGAGCCGCCGCCGCCGCCGTCGCCGCAGCGGCGGCAGCCGACTGCTCCGCCTGCTGCATCTCGCCTTTCCAGACCGCGCCGGCGTTCCAAGACCTCCGGACCTCTGGGGCGGCGTCCAGCCCCAAGTCGA